AAAAATAAAATTGAAACAACAGCAAAATAATATTGTTGACCCTTTTAAAAATTCATTCTTCATTAATTGCTTCTCTGAAGACCCTTCTAGATGCTTAATCAATGCAACTTTACGATTTTTTCAGAAATATGTATGTATAATTGTTGCATTATGAAAGTACAAGTAGATCAAAATGTTGGATTCTACTCATGTTAAAGAAATATTCTCGAACATTAAAAAACTAAAAATGAATCTAACCTAGATAACTCAAACACTCAACAATGACTTGGGACATGAAGGACAACAAATCTATGTTAATAGACATATCTTTTGTAGTTTAAGACATTACTTTTATTTAGAGCAGGTTTTGTTTCATATCCTTCAAATTAAGCTTGCCGAAAATAGTCATAACTCACACCAAAAATATTTAGAAGAGCCGAATGAGAAAGAAAAAAAGAAAGACATTAAAAGGGCGAAAGCTTTTTCCAAGTGATCAGATCATATACATACCAAACGAAAAACAATCAATACAATTTTAAGGAGACAACAAAACAGCGAGAAAAAACTTACATTAAAAGGAGTAAACTATGAGATACCCAATGATGATAACAAATCATTCTAACCAAAAAAGTTCTCATGTTTTGAAATAACATACCTCAAAAAATTGACTAACACTTCAATCAACTTTCAATCCTTAAAGTACTCATAATATCCACATATAAAATTTAGTAAAAATAGATAACAACAACATAAAAACCAAAAAATATGGGCATGCAAAGTTATTAACTCTCAAAGGATTTTCTAAAGAACACAAAATCTCATCCTTGTATGTGAAGGAATGTCGTTATTGATGAAGAAATTAGAGATTTGTAAGAGCTTTTTTATTGTACCTTCAACAATTCCAATAGAGAAACCTTGCTTGAATACTCAATTAACGTTTGTTATTTACCTCAAAAAATTGACTAACACTTCAATCAACTTTCAATCCTTAGAATACTCATAATATCCACATATAAAATTTAGTAAAAATAGATTACAACAACATAAAAACCAAAAAATATGGGTATGCAAAGTTATTAACTCTCAAAGGATTTTCTAAAGAACACAAAATCTCATCCTTGTATGTGAAGGAATGGCGTTATTGATGAAGAAATTAGAGATTTGTAAGGGCATTTTTTATTGTACCTTCAACAATTTCAGTAGAGAAAACTTGCTTGAATACTCAATTAACGTTTGTTATTTAATTTGTACTAACAAATACTTATAACAATAATTTTGCAGAAACATAAACAACAAAGTTTAAAGCATGTACTCAAAAATAACAATTAATAATATAAACATAAATTAATGACCGTAAAAAACATATCAGGATATGTAACAATAGAATGAAACAGAATGGAAAAAATTGAGTCCACTGAATGCACAGTCCCCCTTAAGGAAATTATTCCCCTCTAGTACCCGAGGTTTAAAGGAATAGATCCTCTCAGGATAGAATAATTCTATTCACCATTGTATTGATACAAAAACAATGGTGTCAGTGAGTCATTCAACAGGAGCAAAATACACAAATATTTAATTGTTTAGAAGAAGAAGAAATTCAAAATTTTTGTTGTTTAAAATGAGAGGAAATTCCTCTATTTATAGACAACGAAGGGTAGTGTGAACAAATGTATATTGTGTCTTATCGAAATTGTCACAACTCTTTGGAAAAGTTACAAAAGGTCACAACCTTTATAAAAGTCATAATTTTTCATAAAAGTTGCAAAATGACTAAAATATCCATAGAAAGATATTAGATATTTTTATCGTTTTAAAAATTAATTAACTACATATTTTTTTATATTTTCCTTTTTTTTTTGTATTTATTTTCATTGCACTTAATATCATACGAACTAAATTTTTTTCTCTTCTTTATTTATTATTTTTCTCCTTTATTTATTTTAAATTCATTTTCATGACTCATGTTTAATTATCTATTAGATTGTTACTCTTAATATTTATAACTCTTATTCTTTTCATATTCATAACTTCCAATTATTAAGAGATGCTACCTATAAAAGTTCCTAAATACATTATTTGTGTTATAGTCTTTTCTTCATTCAACCTCATTTGTTTTATCCTTTGAGCTTCCAATTGTAATTAGTATTAATAAGTATCTATTACTCATCTTTCTTATCTTGCTTGCACTATATAAAGGTGTACAAATGAATAGTAAATTATGATTCTCTTCTTTCTATAATTTTTTTTATTGTTTTGCATTTTCCTCAATACTATGTGGACAAGTAAATTTATTTTCTTTTGTGTTTAAGAGCTTATATTTACAAGGTAACATGTAATTAATATTATTATTTACTATTTGATTTATGTTTTAGTTTAACTTGGTGAAGAAGATTCTTGAATTTTGATTGATTGTAGAAGAAGGTGTTGATAAGAACTCGGAATTTATGTACTGATTTTGTATTTTCATCCATTTGTATTATTATGATCAAAGTCTTAAGAAGGGTGTGTATGTTGTATTTTTTCTTTTATGTTTTTATTTGTTTTTCTCATTATTAGACTTCTTTAATTTGATTTTCTATGAATTTTCGAATGTCGTAATTCTGTAATTTTAATCATTTTATCGATCTATAAAAAATTACATGGGATAAACATGCAAATCACGTATCCAGAAACTTGTTTGATATAAGAATATGTAAGACTCAGCATACTATGAGACATGAGTGCTTATATGAATAGATTCATATTAGGAGGCTGATATTCATAGCCTTATAGAGTAAGATAAAGATCAATGGGCTAAAGTTTCTGCCTCTTATTCTGGGAAGTGAACATAGATATGAATTTATGATCTGAAGCGTTTGAGCATAGGTCATGGACATAATGCCAATATGTGAGAAATCAACAAGGTGTTGTAACGAGTTAACTTTGAGGAATACGCTAGACTATGAATGGATTGATATACCACCATAACTTTTTCTGAACACATCATTATATGATTATCAACGCTTGACTTGGTTCCTTACCTTATCATCTCCCCCTTAGGTCAGAAGCTGACACCCTAAGGCTATGGACCTATTACATATTCTCTATACTAGTCTATATTCACTTTACTCTAACATTCGAAAAAATGCTAATCACATGTCTATTAAACTCTCCATGCGCAGGTACTAAGATTCCTTTTAGGGCTTCTTTCTGAGCTGCTTCTCTTAACTTATTCTTGCTTCTATAGAAGTCTTTTGATAATCGTTACCCGCATTGGATTATAATTTTATCTAACTCTTAATTAATAGTCTGACGTCTCCTTCTTAGCCTACTAATACCGTCCTTCTAAGTTCATATCTATCTAACTAGAGAAAACTTGAATTGTATTTAATTAAGAGGCTCGTCATTGTCTATGTATGATTCTTTCGACCAAACTCTTAAGGGTAATAAAGAATGCTTGCATCAGTCTACTCCACATTGACAGCTCAAATATATTATCTAGGCACACATAGAAAATCATAAACTTAATTAAAGTCTCATCTAACTATATATGATCTTGGGTACACATCTTAGTGCTCTTGTTTATCCAATGACGTAGCCACACTTCATTACTCTCGTCTAAGGGTCATAATACCACACTTGTACCACTCACATTTAATGCAAATTAACACCTTAATTCCTCACTTACTCTATGTCAAAAGCCTACTAGATCAAATCTCAAAACTAACATCATTACCCCCCATATTGCCATTCTTTTTATCACTATACTCATCTCAAATTCAAGCTTAGTGTCCAGTACTAAACATGGATATCAATGTCATTGTTCACATACTATACTAACTTATGACTACTGGATAAAATTAAGACACAGTCGCCGACTAAGACCTCATGACAAGTAATCAATCTTTATCCCCTAGTCTACCTAGTTACAGTTTATCGCCACATCCCTTTCACAACCTAAGTACTATTTACCCCCTTCACTATACATTATTGCCTAATTAGTTCCATAATCCTATTAATATCATGAGGCTCTCCTTTCAAAATCATAAGTCTAGCTTAGATCTATTTCCTCATGACTATTTGTCCTTCAAACATATACTTGGTCTTCGCTATCACAATTACATCAAATTAAAATTTAAAATTTTGACTGCAAAAAAAGCGAAAGAAGCAATCCATAGAAAGATTTGACGCTCTGAAACTTCAAGTTAACCTTCATGGCTGAATTCAAATTAATTTGTGCTAACTTATTGAATATTTTTTTTCTTCTCTTCAATGTTACAAAACACATCTTCAAAAAATTGAGAAGCCATGCTCATCATTTTTTCCTATAGATTCCCCAAACGAGGAAACTTAAAAAGAACAGAAACGTATCTATTATTAAAAGATTAAATTTGAACATAATTAATTTAAAATTTCTTATTTTACCATTAATAATATAATTTTATACCACATTGATATCACGAAAATTTAAAAATCCCAAATCCCAAATATCTTTGGTTTAAATGTGGCACCTAGCCAAACATGTTTTTATAAATAATCTTCATTTATTTTTGAAAGGTATAAAAATCGGCCAAAACTATGTAGCCCAAGTAAATGAACGGTAGTTAAAAAAAAAAAAAAAAGGTCATTCGCACAAATGCCAATTTGATGTGACATTTTGATATTTTTTTCCTCTCAAATGCATTGTCTTTAATTTTATTCCTATTGCTTATTTAATGAAAATTTTATTGGCTAAAATACCCTTAAATTTAACTAGACAGAACATTTTACATAATGTTTGTATACATTGGAGCATAAATTTATCATGGGAATATTTTTTTATTTGTTTTTTCGCTGTCAGAGAGAATATATACTTTTCTTTGTTTTTTTTGCCGTCAGAGAGAATATATACTTTTCTTTATCATTACCCTCAACTTTATCATCTTTCTACTTTAAGACTTTAACAATATTCCCATGATAACAATATTCCTTTACACTGAATTTTTGAAGCTTTAAATACTGAATTCCATGACAACAATATTTATCTCTTATCAAACTCTCAATCTACTAATTTCCATACACACTTTACCTTTTACAAAAAAAATATTAATTAATTTCCATATTCCTAAAGATGGCTGATGCCGTTGTGTCATTTGCAGTTCAAAAATTGGGTGATTTCCTCATTCAGGAAGTTAACCTACGTTTAAGTCTAAGAGAGGATATGAAGTGGATGAGAACTGAGCTTCTCTTCATGCAGTCTTTCCTCAAAGATACAGAACTAAAACAATATGGAGATCATACAATTCAACAATGGGTAACTGAGATGAACTCTATTGCTAATGACGCTGTTGCTATACTCGAGACTTACAGTTTAGAGGCTGGTAAAGGTGCTAGTCGTCTCAAGGCGTGCGCTTGCATATGTAGGAAGGAGAAGAAATTCTACAATGTCGCCAAGGAGATTCAATCACTCAAGCAACGAATCATGGATATCTCTCGTAAAAGAGATACTTATAGTATTACAAATATCAATAGTAATGCTGGAGAAGGAACAAGTAATCAGGTTACAACACTGAGGAGAACTACCTCATATGTGGATGACCAGGATTACATTTTTGTTGGACTTCAGGATGTTGTAGAATCATTGCTAGCTGAACTTCTCAAAGCAGAGCCTCGTCGAAACGTCCTCTCCATTCATGGGATGGGTGGATTGGGCAAGACCACTCTTGCCAGAAACCTCTACAACAGTCCTAATATAGTCTCAAGCTTCCCTACTCGCACTTGGATATGTGTTTCTCAAGAGTACAACACAATGGATCTTTTTAAGACTATCATAAAATCCATCCAAGGTTGCGCCAAGGAAACTCTAGATTTGTTGGAAAAGATGGCAGAAACAGATCTAGAAAATCACCTTCGTGATCTATTAGAAGGATGCAAATACCTTGTGGTGGTTGATGATGTGTGGCAGAAAGAAGCATGGGAGAGTTTGAAAAGAGCATTTCCGGATAGAAATAATGGCAGCAGAGTTATTATCACCACGCGCAACCAGGATGTCGCTGAAAGAGCAAACAACAGAGGTTTTGTCCATAAACTTCGTTTCCTAAAACAAGAAGAAAGTTGGGATCTCTTTTGTAGGAAACTACTTGATGTTCGAGCAATGGTTCCAGCAATGGAAAGTCTAGCTAAGGATATGGTGGAAAAATGTAGAGGCTTACCTCTTGCAATTGTTGTATTGAGTGGACTACTTTCGCATAGATGGGGGCTAGACAAATGGCAAAACGTGAAAGACTGCCTTTGGAAGGACATTGAAGAAGACTCTATTGAAATCTCCTACATACTATCATTAAGCTTCAACGATTTGTCAGCTGCGCTCAAGAAGTGTTTTCTCTACTTTGGTGTTTTTCCAGAAGATCAAGTGATCGATGCTGACGACATAATGCGGTTGTGGATGACAGAGGGTTTCATCATACCAAGAGGAGAAGAAAGAATGGAGGATGTCGCTGAAGGCTTCTTGAATGAGCTGATAAGACGAAGCTTGGTTCAAGTAGCTCAAACATTTTGGGAAAAAGTTACTGTATGTAGGGTTCATGATTTACTTCGTGATCTTGCCATACAAAAGGCATTGGAGGTAAACTTCTTTGACATTTATGATCCAAGAAAGAACTTGAAATCCACTTCATGTATAAGACATGCCATTCATAGTGAAGGAGAAAGGTACCTCTCATCACTTGATCTTTCTAACTCGAAGTTGAGGTCAATTATGTTCTTTGATCCACATATTTGTAATGTGTTCCAACATATAGATGTGTTCCGACATATATATGTGTTGTACTTGGATATTGATTATGGTAAAGTTATACCTGATGCCATAGGGAGTTTGTACAACCTCAAGTTGTTACGCTTGAGTGTTGTCAGTAAAATTCCCTCCTCCATCGGCAACCTCAAGAATCTACAGACACTTGTTGTTGTCAATATGGACAGACGCTTTTGCCAACTACCCCCCGAAACAGCTGACCTAATAAATTTAAGACATTTAGTTGTTCCATATTCTATACCTCTGGCAGGTATAAGCAAACTCACTAGTCTTCAAGTTCTTCGCCTTGATTGTGATCAGTGGAAAGAAGTTGACCCAGTTGATTTAGTCAATCTTCGAGAATTAGAGATGCGTAATATATACAAATCTTACTCCCTAAACAACATTAGCAGCTTGAAAAACCTTAACACTCTCAAATTGTGTATTTTGCTTGGTCCACAATCTACATATCCATTCCCATCCCTTGAATTTGTTAATAGTTGTGAAAAGCTCCAGAAATTGTTGTTAGGTGGGAGATTAGAGAAACTGCCTGTGTTTCCAGATTCCATCACAATGATATTTCTTTGGGAGTCAAGACTGACAAAAGATCCGATGCCTATTTTGGGAATGTTACCAAACCTAAGGAATCTCGAATTAGAAGCAGCTTATGAAGGAGAAGAAATAATGTGCAGTGATTACAGCTTCAGTCAACTAGAGCTCCTTCATCTTTATGGTCTTGACAACTTAGAAAGATGGCATTTAGGCACAAATGCCATGCCTCTCATTAAAGATCTTGTTATCCATCATTGTCCAAAGCTGAGGGAGATTCCAGAGAGAATGAAAGACGTGAAGCATTTCAAACGTATATGAAGTCTTATATGATAATAGGAAAGGTAAATATACAAACACATCCCAATCCTTCATTTTTTTTCTTTTTTATATAAATAATAATATTTTTGTTAAAACAGGAGATGAAGACATTCAAGTTGATGAAGATGGGTTGTCCAAGCATCAATCAAGCTTCCGTCACTTTACTGATTTTGTGATTCTAGGCAAAAATGAGGATTTTTTTGGTTTTTGGCTTCTTTTTTTTTTTTTAGTGTGTGGAATTGGTTGGAAGAGATTTTTTTTTTGGGGGAAGTGGGGGTGG